TTTCTGACAGAAAGAATGGTAATTACTTTTAGGCTGTCACATGTGTGTGAGGCATTAATAGATGACGGCTGGGAGCCTTTGTGGAAGGAAGGCACAAAAGCAAGGACGGTCTTGAGAATGAATTACCTATGACCTTGTGCGTAATGGAAATATCATTATGCACAAGAAATATTATAGAAAGCAAATGACAAGTGTTGTGCTTGAATAAGAATATTATTTTTATCATCCTTAGTATTATTATATCTAAAATATTTAGAGAGGATTAGAGATAACTGAGTGGAAACTGTTATTTCAAAATACCACTTTGGTTTAGTCAGACTCCGATACGCAGAATTTCTTGCATTGAACTTCACCACCTTGAAAGAGTTTTTACCATTTTACCATTTTACCAAACGCACAATCTGTAGCAGTTCTTTTGTCCTTTAGGTGTTGGTACATCCAGTCCTCAGCTGTTATTTGGACTGCCAAGGACACAATTCACGCTCTCCCCACATACTACTGTATGAAAGACTAATAAGTGGGGAGCAAGGTGAGACTAGGCGGCCTCTGAGCTCCTTTGATGCGTAGATTGCGGAGTGGCATGACGGTGCTACTGAAAGAAAAGGAATGAATAATCAGTGGGGCTTACTTTATTAAGCTCTTCGGGTGTGTTTCTCTTTTTTGCACATCATTTAAATAAGTTGTATGTTGCCGTACAGTAAGGTGGGGTTAATGCTCATGTGTCCATTATCAGAAATTAATGGACAACGTGGCCAGAACCAGCTGATATACCATACAAAAAAATGATGACCCTTTATATTTTCTTGCGTTTTGCAATCAAAAACTGTTTCCTTGGTAACACCTGAGGGTTGGACTAATACCTGGAACAATCATTACCATCCCAAAAGGTTCTTATGCACTTGTTAACTACTCCAGTAAATAACGACAAACCTTAGATACGATTTAGCAAGGAAATATTTCTAGTTCCTTCACGCACAGAACCATTTGGTTCAGCTACAGCTCACAGAGCTAATGTACGCTAGAATAACTCAAAGTCAGTAACGTTGCTTACAGTAACAGTAAATATAGTTTGACCACAAACTTGTTTAACAACAAGACTTGCTAGCTATCCAGTCATGCCATTGTCCCCAAATTAATATAAAAAAATAATAAATAGGTTTATACAGTAATTAAAGACACACATAGCAGATTATGTGCGAGAGAGGGATGCTGGCATATTGTGTGGCATGAAATAAAGAAGGAGGCCCGCTGAGAGTGTGATGCTGCAGCAACAGCAGCGACATTATGTCATCCAAGTGGCTGATCCGCTGATGACATGCCCTGGCAGACAGAATCTGTTCGCCACAATGCCATAATCTAGTGCCATGTGTCCCTCTCACATGTTTATGGATGTAGAGCAAATGAGATTGGAGATGGCAGCAAAGGATGGTCAGTGGATGAGTGAATGACGGCAGCTCTGGCTCTGCTGCAGTGTGTGAAATCCAACATGTCTGTTTATTTCCAGTGGTTAAAGACATGGTTCATCCTGCTGCACTGTGGTGGGTCAGCCACCCAGGGAAATGGCCTTTGTCAAGGATGTAAACACTATGCTGTACCTGTCTTCTATCATTAGATCACAACCATTAGTGTAAAAATATGCTGCCAAAAGGGCCTTTTTGTTTTTGCCTTTTTAATTTAAGAAAACATGATCCAAATAAACTGGTAATTAGAAAAGCATGTGAGACTAGAAACAATAGTAATAATAATTTAAAACGTCATAAAGGCAAATAATGATTAGTTCTGTCTCCTCAAAAAACAGTAAAACAAATATTCAGTGTTGCAATAAACCTGCAGCAAACCAGATTTCATTTTACTGATGTGAAGCTTCACTTTAAACCAGATGGATCAATTTTCTTCAAATAGTCTCTCTGTTCTAAGGCCCTTGGCTCCTGTTCTGTGTTTACTGTTTTCTTTGATTTAACCATGCTCTTCACTTCAAAACCCCATGTAAAACAACAGAATGCAAATGCTCTTCTAAGAAAAAAGAGGGTTGTTCTTTGCAGTATAGCTGTATATAGCAATAGTTTATATAGCTCTAACCTTTTCTTCAATTCTTCTCTTCAGATTTTATTTTATGAAATGTTTGTTTGTGTTACTTTGTCCAGTGATTGGTCTGTGCCGGCAGTCTAGTCATTTGGTGTGCTGTCTATTCAAGGATTTAAAATGTGCGTTGGTCAACAATGTGTAGTAATGCGAATAGCACCATTCAGATTATGCATGCCAAGTCATTAAATATTTTGGCATTGTGGCAGCAATACACTGGATACAGCTCACTATATTATATTAGTAATAAGTAATATAGTGTATATATACTGTTCTATTTACAGAAGCAGCATGTTGAGATTTAAGGATATGTTTCAATTTCAAACCTCAATGAACAAAAATCATGTGATCAATCTATATATTTCTGAGTGATATGACTTCTAGATAGACAGGAAGTGTATAGGATTTTCTGGTACTGTTATCTTGGTTCATATCATATCTCAAAGGCAGACGTTACATTGTTACAATTGGGATCATAAATGGTATGATTCTTGGGCCCCTTTTTTTTATCTAACCTGGATGCACCAGATGGTTTGTTACACGGAACCTTCTGGGAAGTTGTTGTTGGAAACTGGAAAAGGGCAAGCACCTTCAAAAAATACCCTGCAGGTGATCACTGTCTATCATGGACAAACTTCAGCCAATTAGATAAATGGACCCTATAACATAGTCAAACTCTCACTGTAGCCAGTCGGCAGAAGTGTGAAAACATCTCTTCCATCAAGAAAAGTCTTCAGTGCCGTTCTTTGCTCTTGTGGCATCTATGATAACCTCTTTAGCGACTGCCATTGCTGTTTTCAAGCTTTCACTTCTCCCACATGTCGTCACGCACACCTAGCATTAAACCACGCCTGTAGCTCACGTCGTAACTGCATGTACTTCCTCACAGGTCACTGATTGGTGCAAATCACAGCGTTTGGATGTAAGCACAAAGCTTGAAGTCTGGCCAGGTGGATTCTTGTGTGCTCCCCTGATCTTGCAAGTCCAGCTGCTTTTCAAGGTTTTTATTTAACCTGTACACGCTGCCTGTGGGTCAAATTATGCAAGAAAATAATAATGCTTATGCTGACAAAACCCAGAATTACTTAGCTCTCGCGCCAAATGATACAATTCTGTTATGCCCTTCTTGCAGAGTATAAAATCCTTAGTCTATAAAAGTATAAAACCCTTAGGTCCTTGGAACTTTAGGAAGTAGTCAGCTGTTAGTACTTCTAGTCAAATCTGGACAATGTGAAGCTGCTATTAACTACAATACGACTTATTTTTATTATTTATTTTATTATAGTAGTTGAGATGAAACAGGGCATTTATGGGTCACTGTTGCATGCTGGATTCTTGTCTTCCTGTGTGACTCAGTTGTCAGTGTCACTCCGCCAAGCTGTGATGAAGACAGATTAAGCTCAGAAGTGTTGATTGGCCTTGTCAGTCAGCTACATATGAGGTGCCACTGTTCTGAGACACATTGACTTCAGGCGATGGCACTACTTTGTTCCTACACTACAGTAATCTGAGGTCTCCACAGGTTGCTACCACAGTCCATGTGTATTTGTTTGCTTTGTTTTTTTCCATGTGAGGTATTGCCACTTGCCATTATATAATTATGGTTGTTATGTATAATAAAATATACTGTATATATAATAAATTACAAAACGATAAAACTGCTATTAGAAGTCAGACACTATTGTGAAGGGCTGCAAAGACAACTTACAATAATATCAAACAGATGAAACACTATTAATTGGTAAATTACTTAAAGGTGTAACATTTACTGGCAGAAACGGAAATAGTCCAACCTGTGCTGTGTGTCGTCCCCTCATGAGAGGGTGAGGCTAGGGTGTTGTAATCTGCAACTACACTGCTAAACACAGAGAAACAGGGGTATCATTTCTGTACCCAAAGGTACATTTGTCAGAAAAGTGATAACTGTTGACCTTTGGTTCAATTTTAAAGGTACAAAATCATGGCTGACAGGTGGGTTTATTGAAATACAATAGGCTACTAGTAATAATTCCATGAGCAAAGAACTAGGACAGCACTTCCATTCAACTTTTATTAATTTTGCCGCACAGAGATTTGGCAAGACGCCCTTATTCAGTGTATTGGCAAGCTCACAATGGATCTATTTCAGTGTTTTTGTTCATTTAATCAAGTAGCTAATTGTCAGTATAACAGAGTAACATGCTTCCACCTGCCATCACTCCCAATTTTATTTTATCTGTTACTCGCAAATGTATTTGAAGACCTGGAAATGAAAATGGACTGTGAAGTGTGTAGGAGAAACTACGGTTGCTGCGAAACTCACGAAAAACATGAAATGTCCTAACAACAGCTGGTGTTTGGTTTGTCTATTCTGGGCTACTGTAGAAACATGTCAACAGCCCAGCTCTGAGTCCCGTAATAAAGGTTTAGACGATATGGCGATTTGATTTGGTCTAACTTTTACACATCTTTTCCATCCGTAGAGCACATTTTATCTCGTAGTTGACTATCTCAGAACAAACACAAACAAATCACACTTTGACATAGGTGGCCTGTGCCACTCAAGTCTATTTATTTTCAGCTCTGCAGTGGCCTCAAAAGCTTCATAAGTGACCATTGTTAAATATGGGATTGAAAAGATGTATTCAAAACTGTGGCCTTGGAGTCTGAAAAGGTGAGTGAGGAGGGTGGGGGGACACTAATAAAAAAGGATGCCTCCCTGTAAATCACCACACTAATGTTGAAGAGCTTAAGCATAGTTTAGCGTAAAAAAGGCTTTTCTTTTGTATGAAAACATGAATTTATCGTATAGGACAGGAGAATTATCAGAAAAATGACAGGGCCATTGTCATGTTAAACTTTACCTTGGTCTTTTCTTCTTCTTTTTTTTGTTGCCTCTGAGAAGTGATGCTGGTGTGAGTGAGTCACAGAGTTTTTGAATGGCGGGTTGGGTTTATAAACCTCCGCCAGCCCTCAACACATGAGTTTGGAGGCCACTTGTCTCTGCGGTCTGACACGTATGCACATGCAGCAAGGTCCGACAGCCTCAGCATCCTTACTTTTCACCCTGGAGGGCACGGGAGCCCAAAGACAGCTCTTCATCATGAGGTCCTTCCTCTTACTGCTCTTCTCCCTGTTGTTGGTGTCGCACGGATCTTCAGCAGTCATCACAGGGGTAAGTTGGAGCAAACAGGTATATACAATTAGAAAGCTCTTGGTTGATGGGAATATGCAGAACAAGTATTTGCATTTCAGACTAATGCTTTCTTTAAAGAAAATGTTGCCTGATCATGTTTTCTTTGGTTTTAAATGGCAAAAGAATAGTATTATTTGGAGATGGAGGATACTCACAAAACACAAAAGAATCAGACGAAATGTAAAAAAAATAAAACTGCAGGAAAAAGACTTTTACGTGTTTGACATGTCTTATTTATGCTGTGACCAAGCCTTCTCGCAACACTCATCCTTCAATTGTCATTTGTTTAAAATTAAAGCAAATTATTCTCCAAATAATTATATAAAGTACTTGAATTTTACTGTGCTTTAAAATTTTATTTAAGGAAAAACATCCTGTACAAAAATTTATCATTATGTAGAAATGTATATTTGTTTTAGAACCAACATTTTTAATGTGGCATAAAATAGATTTCAGAGATGCCACACACAGTCTGTAATTTTCTTTTCTTTTATTATTCTTTTTCTTTTATTCTACAAGCATAAAGGGTTATTCGAATTTAAAATGTCAAGTGCATGATATCTATCTTTTTATCCATCAATGCATATCAGTTTATGACAACCCGCAGTGAAGTTGCAAACTTATCCTTTGAATCCTTTCCCCATCTAAGTCAGAATCATTCCATGAGCATAAATCATGCCCATAACCTGCTAATAAAACACCCATCCCTGTCACAACAACCCTCTCATACTGTGTTGCTGATGTGACTTGAGAGAGGAGCATGCAGCCATAAAACAGAAAGTGATTTTCATCCACGTCTGTCACATGAAATCACTCCTGTTCCTACTCATTGTGTTCTCTTCATCACATCCAAAGTGAGAGCTGTCACTCTGCTTCTCATCCAGACAATCAAAACAATAAATCCTCACCAATCCTCAAGTGTTTAGAGGTATTATATGACTAATGTTGTAATAACACCTCCATTAGCATAATATACCATTAAGGTAACAGTTTGCAGTGTGTATTGCAACACATTTCTTACCTATCTCAAAGCTCACTATACACACTACCTGCCTTTTATCACATAATTATGTTAAATTACATTACATAAAATTACAAATATGGATACATTATATAATTGCACACATAATTAAGAATTATATCTCTCCTTTGATTAGATATAGCACCAGTTACACCAGTGACAGCTGTTCAATACATTTTGGTCCTAATTTCATTTCAGTTTTATAATAATGATAAACTTTAATAAGATTATTAAGGAATTGATTACATTAATTAGAATACAGCTTTAATTATTAGATGGAAATTGTTATTATATGCCGGTTGGTTCCTACATGTCCATAAAACTAATCAGTCTCTTTGGTCTGCTTAAGTCATTAATATGCATGCTAATTTATATGAATTGATGTGTGTGTGTGTGTGTGAGTGTGTGTGTGTGTGTGTTTGTGTGTTTTGTGGTAGGCTGCGAGAAAGGCTCTCAGTGTGGAGGGGGCTGTGTTGCGCTGTGAGTTTGTGGATTCGCAGCCTGCGTATGTGCACGCCCATGGGACAGGAAGGAGATGACTGTCACCCTTTGAGCCACAAGGTGAGATCATCTCCAGAGGTACTCTCTATGCTGTGAAGTGTCGCACGCCATCGATTTGTCTCCTCACCATATTACAAAGATGCAGTAGGGGATTTTCTGTCAGTAAAGTTTGGTTCTACTTTTCCCTGTGGTTTGTTGCAGCTTTAATATTGAGGTAGCTAATATTTTGAGTTTGCTTTTGTGCAATTGCTTTCAAAGCACCTAGAACCTTCAAAATTCACACAAGAGGCCTGGAAACAATCTTCCACTGCATCCATTACACCTGATAACACCTGAAAATGAAATAAACCTCATACCAAAGGTGTTTCTCTTTCTGCTCCCAGGTTCCTTTCTTTGGGAGTAGACTCCACCATACTTGCCCCTGCCTGCCCAATTTGTCGTGTGTCACCATAGAGGAGGGGAAGTACAAATGTCTCTCAACATACAAGTATCCAGACTACTACCTCTGAGGACCAACACTTAGAGTTACACTATTGTACATGCACTGTTACTATGTTTAAAAGCTTGTTTTCCCATTGTTTTTTATTTTATTTTGAATAAAAAGATATATTTAATAAGGCATCATCATTTTGGTTCAGATTAAATTAAAATCAGAATTTCAGTGAGCACAGAAAAACGTTTTCTAGTGTCAAACTCTGCACATGCATCATTCTGCACAGTGAAGCTCAAACATCCAACTGTAGGAACACGAAGAAAAACAGATTTTTGACTGGAGGGGAACTTTAAAGAAAGAAATTCCAATCTTTGCCTACATGGATTTTAAGGTAATACAATATTTTACATGATGCCAGGTGGGAAAGATGACATTAATAAATGTTGTGATGCAAATATTAAAGGTCTAGTGTGTAGGATTTAGTGGCATCTACCAGTGTAATTGCAGATCGCAATCATGCTGCTTAACTGTAGAAACATGGCAGCTCAAATTAGCAGACTATATGGAAAATAACAATCGTTTACAGTAGCCCAGAAAGGACAAACCAAACATGGGCTGTAGATTGGACCTTTACCGTTTTTCACAAGTTTTGCAGCCACCATAGATTCTCTCTGTTCTCATTCACAGGTCGTCACATACAGACGCGAATGTTCAGTTGGTTGCAATATACAACTTCACTGGTAGATCTCACTAAATCCTTAACACTGGTGTCTTAAGGCTGCACCGAATACTGTAGTTTCTACATAAACATGCACAACTTTGCCACTTTAGAAACTTAAATGTTCTCTGCACATTGAATCCTGTTTATGTTGTTGTTCCACATTTGCTTTGTTTGTTTTAGGTATTACATTTGCCAAATATGTCTATAGTATGAATAGTGGGAAATACAAACACTTCACGGTGAGTGATAAACCAAAGAGCACAAAAAGTCTCATTGTGAATCATTCCTCTGATTAATTGGATTCATTCAATATTGTTATTTATGTCAGATTTTTGAGTGCAATCAAAATACGCCTTCCTTTTCTATTTTTGCCAATAAGATTAATCTTGATTTCGAAACACACATGCTCTATGTTACACTGGGTTATACTGTACTGTCTGCAGTAGTTGGGTTTCTGGTGAGCTTTCAGCTGCCCTCTAGGGAAACAGGGGAGAAAACACACATTTATTCCACCGGTAATAAAATGACATGCTGAGTGAGATGTAAAAGTTGGCTTGCACTTTCATTATTCACTCATAACCAAAACGCACAAGTGACAGTACCTTTTCATGCTTAATTGCTTGGCCAACCATGAAGTACAAAAAGAAAAACTGTGAGAACATTTAAATTAGGGTTAAAAGACATAGGGGCCTTTTCTCACGTTCACCTTGGCAGCGGGTCTTTATAACACCAGGAAACAGTAAGACAGCTGTGAAATTCATCACTGTCAGGCTATGATTCACAGCATTTATTCAAGGCTCAAAGCTATAATTAGATTTGTCCAATGTGTAAAGCAATGACTCACATCAATGGGATACTTTAGAAATGAATATTGTTCTTCTGTGGCATTAAAACTGCCTAAAATCCTCAGTGGTGAGTTCATAAAAGCATCTATGCAGTAACATCTTAATAATCTAAATAACTTCAGACAGAAGTGTGTTTTAATCTATAGCAGTGTAACAATATGCAAAATGTAAAACATGGCTTTTCAAATGAACCATGACGGTCTGGAGCCTTGAAAAAGTTGTCATTCTAAGATCATGTCACCCAATATCCATCAGTTAGATGACAGAAACATATTTGGCTGTTTTGTAAATCCGACAATGTTAGAGGAGTGCAATGCTTAATCGATGGAGTACTCTTTTAAATTTGATCATTTATTAGAAAGTAAAGTCAATAAATAGCTAATCATCTTTGGATACCCAAACAACCATAAACTTGTCAGATGATACCATTTTTTAAAGAGCAACATATCCAGCTGTCCAAATCGTATTTTAGTAAAACCTAGTGAGGAGCACAGAGGTCACCATAGTTGCTCAGTGGCTAGAAAGACTGAAAAGATCAATAAAAGAGCCAGCAGCAAAAGCCCAACAAAAAGAGTCACATTTCCCCAGCATCACAACGGAGCCTGCGTGCCCCGAAGACAACACGATGTACCAAAAATACCCAACCTGTATTTGCATTGCACGAGAGCACGTGCAGGTGAGGAGCTTCCTGCAGCTCAGGAGCCAAAGCAATTACACCACGAGACCTCGGCACGCTGGTAGCAGAGCACGGCCAGCTGTCAGGAACAAGCAGGCATGTTGTGATGCTAATGGTTACGGATGCACTGAGGGCAGACAGTGTGTTGAGGAGCTCAGTGTTGTTTTGCAGATCGGACTGACGGAGGGGCGCCTCACTAATTCACAGTGATTAAAAGTGCGCATTGAGAGAACTGCTCAGCCTTTCTTTAAAAGCTGCGGTTTGGTGTAATCGAGGCCAGCGTCAATGAATGCAACAGCAATTAGCTGAATCAATATTCTGCTACTGTGCCACGCAAACAGCCTATTGAAACAAATCAAATGAACTGTTTGATAAATGCTCTGTTTAAAACCGTGGATATGACACTTGCAAAAGAAAAATCAGACCTCTAACCTTTTAACTAAGAATCTAGAAGCTGTTTACATTGTATTTGTGGTCTCATTTAGTTCTTTGTGACAATGTGACATGAAACTGACATACTGTATTTCCACCAGCTAATTAGTTTGACAGCAGAAGATTTTCTGTCAGAATCAAAGAGCAAGGTGTGCAGGGAACAAAGGCCCCTCCATGGATTTAATAAATACTGAGGCCTTTATTCCCCCTAATGCAACCCCTCTCTTTTTTAATATTGCTGTAAACTGTTTATCTATATTTTATTCCGCAACATGAAGGTCTAAAAGCTTTTTTCAAAGCATTCCACCACACTAGAAGACTTTATATATTGAGTCTAAAAATACTGGAATCAGCCTAAAATATACCGACCACATGCACATTTTTATAAGATCCCCTCGGGGTATTAAAGGGGCTCTGTGCAGATTTTACATATGAAGTTGAGTTTACTGGTCACAGGAACTCTTTGAACTCTGAAGTCTTTGAAAACAGATGTTGTTGTTTTTTGTAACTCTGGAGGAGTTTACTTCTCTGTAAAAAATAACCCTGATGATGTCATCAGGGTTATCTTGACTTGACTCTAAACTTTTAATCTGTCTCTTGTGAGTTCCCAAACTTTATGGAAATGTAATGCTTCATTTCTGGAGTGCCTCTTTAAAACCTCTTAAGTCCTAGAATAAATACAAAGGACATGACAACAGTGTCCCTATGGCCTTGACAAGAAGAACTGCACAATAGAAAGTCTGTATCGATTTAGCAATCAATTTAGTCAAATACTGGGTGCAACTCTCACTTTTTCTCAACTGGAAAATCTTTAAAAATGTCTATCATCCTCTTCATTTAAAACCTACAGCTTAATGCAACAAGCTCACACCTGCTCTCTGAGGGCTGTCAGGTACTAGGAAACATGAGAAAACACTGACCAAAGTACTGGATGAGGTCGAGTGAGCATGCTAACACAAGTAAATGACACAAAATGCATTACCTGAGATGCATTCGGGAGCAGAACCAGATTAACTAAAAACAAAGCAGTTGTTATTAAAACAGAGATTGAAGATTGCAGACAACTTATCCATTTCTTATTTATTTGCTAAGAAATACAAACAATGCAAACATCCTTTCCAAAGCACCCAGTTAACATCTTCAGAGTCCCAATGTTCGTATCTGTAGAAAAAGAAAGATATCTGTATATGCTGCAGGAGCGCGAGTCAATCCATTTCTCAACAGAATTGACCCCTGAAAAACAATAAGAGTTTGCAAAATACCTTTAAAGTGAGTTTTAACACCTTTTCAACACAGAGGATCTTAAGAGATTATGAAATATACAACATATCTGGTTAAAAAAGCAGAAGGAAAGAGGGAAAAGGGGCTTTACAGTATTTACAAACGTGACATTGTCCTCATTAAAAATATACTGAGATCTGCATCTCATTTGTGGTATCCAAACGATTAGAAACCAAGTGTGTCACAGATGCTATAGAGAAACCGACTGATAAAATAGTCCTGTTGTGTTTCAGTCCAGTTCTGCAAAAGGCAAACAACCTCAAAAGGGTGCGCTGGGATATAATTTCCAAATATACAAACAAATAGCCAAAGTGACATTCATGTACAATATTGTAGTCAACCAAAACGGTTGCTCTACTCAATATAGGGCATCAAAACTGTCTGTGGGACATAACATGACACATGGCTGTCATGAAGGCTATAGCCTATATTTGGAGTGAATGTCACCTACAGTACATGCAGAGGTGTAAATTAAAAGGTGGTTTACCATGATGCCCAGTTGGTGAGGCAGACAACCTCAAACACATTTTATTTTTTATAAAAGCATCACATTATGCTTCTGTCCCTTAGTATGCATCATATAGCTTTAATTAGTCTGATTCTGATAAGTAAACTAGAGTAGAATTTACATCATTCAGGTTTTTGCCTAATTAAAATAGTGGGTAAGATCTTTGTCACCAATATAAATGAGTGGGTTCACCCTCCTCAACAGCCCCAGTCTGCGTGTACAAACACAGTTTGGGCACCAGTCTGTGTACATTCTGAAACAAGATGTAATGTGTCTTTGGCAGTATTTGGGGGGCAGCGCGGTTCAGATGACACAGTATGGCTCCATGGGTGTCTGTGTTCCCAGACAGCAGGGGAAACAGGCTCTGAGGCGCATCCGGAGCTCCTTATTGAACAGGAAGCTGATGATGGGGTTCGCTCCCGCCTGGGCGAAGCTCATCCACACCGCAGCGGTCAGGTAGAGCTGCGGGACCGGAGCTCCGCGCACAAATATTCTCAGGTAGCAGGCGCTTATGTAAGGCGCCCACAGGACGAGGAAAGTCAGTGTGATCATGTAGTACATCTTCCCGATCCGTTTCTCCATCTTGAACTCGTCCAGCACCAGCAGCCTCCTGTTGCCGAGGTGCGACGCTTGCCTGATGCCCACCAGCGTCGGTGGGGTGGGTCCCCGTCCGAAGCCGGCGATCCAGTTGGCCGCGGCCTGTCCGGTGGCACCTGGGCCGTGGAAGGTCCAGTTCTGGCTGATGGCGGGGACCAGCTGTGCCGGCTTCATCTTGCGGTGATCGTAGACGAAGCACAGCATCTTTATGTAAACCACATGGGTCGTCCCCACGATGACGGCCAGCATCAACATGAAGCCCAGGGTGTCGTTCGCCTTCACGTAGCGGTGCTCGAAGGTGCACTGCTCCTCCTCGAGGATGAACTTGTAGGTGCCCACGTCGAAAACCGGGGGGAACGCCATGGCCACGGAAAGGGTCCACACCATGCAGATCACCGCCACGCACGTACACAGATTCATCCGCTTGTAGTAGAACCTGTGGTGGGCGATCGCCATGTAGCGGGTGACGCTGACGCAGAAGAGCAGGAAGGCGACGTGGAAGCAGAAGAGCACCGACACGAAGGCGACGATCTTGCAGCTGAGCGCGCTGTACGGCCAGGAGGAGCCGCCGCCGATCGATGCCATCACGAAGGGGAAACAGACGGCGGAGCGCACCACGTCCGCCAGGCACAGGTCCAGGAGGAAATAGTAGGGAGCCTTGTGCAGCGAGCTGTCCTTCAGCAGCAGCAGCGACAGCGACGCGTTGCCCAGCAGGCTGATGCCCATGATCAGACCCAGGGAGGCCAGCTTGACCGCAGAGGCCGCGGACGCATAGTTCTGTAAGGACGGGCTGCTCCCCCCAAACTCACTTGCGTTCGCCATCTATGCAGCCGAGGTCGCGTGTATCCCCACATCAATTCATCGACGAGCGGTAGTATCCTGCCAGGGCTGAAAGGGAAGCGAAAATCCAACACGATCCGCCGCCCCTTTCACAGAAAAACACACTCAAATTCCACTCAGACGCATCCGTTCAACGTCGGCTCACATCCATCCCGATGTGCGGTGATCCCCAGCACAAAAAACAAACAAAAAAAGCATTCAGTATTTCTTCTTTTTCTTCTTGTCCTTCATCTCACAAGTGTCCGGTACAGGAAACATCCCTGTCTGTGGGTCCATTCTCTGCTGAACAGGGGCAGCCCGCTTTGGGTTCATACACCATCTCGGAAGGCGTCCGTTCAGCAGACGAGCGGCTTAGAAAACACATCTCAGTTGGCACCGATGGCGGAGGTCTCCCGTTCGTCCCGAGGAATAAAAGAACACACCGTGCCGTGCGGAAGCATGGCGCAATTACGCATCCACAGCCTCAGCAGCGGCTGCTAAAACATTAGTTAGGTTATATATAGCCCAGAAAGGAGACCGTGTTCTGTAAAAGCCGAGTGCAGATCGGGTGCTCGCAGAGGTGGGAGCGCCAGTATGCATCCAGTAGCGACAGCAGCGTCTAGCCTATGCGACGCACGTCCGCTTGCATGTAGTGAGCAGGCCTGGGATCAGCCAGGAGTCTCATCTGCCGGTCCTTGTCTCATGCATGTCTCCACGCGCTGATGAGATGCAAATTGGGACAGATTGACAGAGAGGTCCTCTGACGTTGCATAATATTTGGTGTGCAGGGTAAAAAAAACTACTAAAATATTGGATATTATATAGGATTATTATGTATTCTATAATAATCATAGGAGTATTATAAGAAGGTCAAGCACACACAGCCCGTAACATTAGGCTACACTGAGAACACCTCTTTAATAAAATTAGTTTCTTGAAAGATATAAAGAAAGAAAAATAGTAACACTAAGCCTCTTAACAGATAGTGATTTGTGGTCACAAGTCACTGTCATATATATGTAACACACTACATGCACTGTAACTGTAACCAGTGTTTCACTTAAAGATGATATCACATTACTTAGGCTACTATTTACTTAATAATAATGTGACAAATAAAAATGGGATTACCAGTTTAAGGTTAAAATAAACATATTTAATGCTAAATGAATTAGAGGAATTCGGCACTTATCACATTTTTATGGTTATATTCTAGGATTTTGAGCAGTTAACAACCTGAACACACTTGTGCTCACTTTGGCTCCTTGGATTCGACTGCGACACCCCTTAAATGAAGATGTGGCTTTTTTATGGGGCCACAGAAGAATAAGATAACACGCTGATATAGAATAAACTAACCAAAACACAACATTGATCCATTAAACAAAAAGACTAGCCTACTCTGTCCCCTCAGTGTTTTGAATGGTGCACTCACAAGGTACACTGAATTACTGACAGTCAACACGACGTCAGCACTTATAGCTACACTTTAGAATGCAGCAGATAAGAGAGACTACACAGGTGGAGCCAACAGTGTGGGTTCAAATAAGGTTAAAAAGTTGCATAAAACAGCAACGTGGTAATACAGAAGATAATACTGCAGAGGAAAAGTGGGTCTGACAAAGATGATTATATTTAATATAAGAAGAACAGCAGAGGATTTGATAAGTGGCTTTAAAACAGTTGAAGAGACCTTTCACATTTTTAAAGAATCTTGAACTAAGAGAAAAATGAATGGTTGTGTTTTGAAAAAAATGTATTTTTGGGATAAAATCCAGTATCAAATAATCTACAATATGTTATGTTAATATATTAAAGGTGTTTGAGCAGAACTTGTGTACTTTGAACTACATTGTGACAGGGCTGCACCTGCTGCTGCAGTGATTCACCAGCACCCCCTGCAGCCAGCTCCAGGGAACATCACAAGCATATAAGAAAGCAGGTATATTAACCCTTAGTGTTGTCTTACACACAAATATTGACCTTTTTGGGAGAATTTACATTTACTTAATGCTCTGTAACACTCTCCACATTAGGCCAGGTATTCATATATGAACCCTGTGACCACACTGGAGCCTGAACCAGTCAAGTCCAGAGGAACAATTAGAGAAGGATGTTCAGGCAGATACTCAACCCCAGTAACACCACCAGATCCATCAAATGGTTCCAACTATCAGAAATAAAAATACATTAAGAAAAAAAAAAAATATATATTTCCTACTATTAGATGTGGTTGAGTTTAACAATGGCTTTGGTGCAGTTCCATTCACAGTAGCCGGATGGTTAATTGCTGAGATTTAGATTGCTAGAAATTTGAAACTACACTTCTTGTTTGAGAGCTCAAATGCCCAAAGAACAAATATGCCTATATAAATACACCATGAAGCATATAAAATATCCACACACTAATAGGAAATTGTATAATTAAAACATGCACATTTGACTCTCCTTATATGTGAGTCTGTGGATTACTGGGGCCTACTAAAGCTTGATAAGCTCACTTACAGTAGACAGATCTCCCTAGGGGATGGGGCTTCAGCTGCGATTGTCTTGTCCGAGCTTGTAAAGCACTTTCATCAAAGTGCCCTAAAACAGACTAGAAGGGGCTTGAGACTGAAGATAGTGGAATGAGATGATGCTTTACTCAGGAAAATAAACATGCACATTTCCTAGTCTGCACATCACTCTCCTGGCTAGATAAGTCATTCTTGCTTAGTACTCGCTGCAACTCTTGACTATTGAAGTAGAGGTAAGAAACAAATATTTCCCAGATGCATTCAACAAATACCTACCCCCATCAAATGTCTATACTCTGGTAAGTTGTTCTCTCCTAGTAGGGCTCCACATGTTTAGTAGTAGTCGTGCCTCCTGAGACAGGAAGTAGTCGTATTAAATTCCACAAACAAAAGAATCAATTGTCCTCTTCTGTGGAAATGGTTCCCCAGGTCAGCTTCTCTTTCACAGGTAGAAAGAGACGTTTTGGTGTTGTAGCCTTGCAAGAATATCAAAATATTACTGTAAATGGAAAAAAATCCCCATAATAATCCATGTCCGAAAGTAATAATACATTCTAAACATGTAGAGGAACTTATGAAATTGTCCCATGGGCTGGAACAGGCCCAAGAGACAGTAGATTCTAGGTCAAGACACACATGCCTATAAAAGCCATTTTGCACTGAAGGGGAATACAAATCTTGTTTCTGGAGGTAACGTTTAAAGGTAAAATAATATCAAGAATAATGGTGACAAAATGTTGCTTAATCAGCACAATAATTCACTTTATTGGTTAAGTATGTTAATGATGATCACGCAGCCTGGTCTATTTATTGGTTAAGCCCTAATATAACCTGCAGGTCAAACTGTTGTTGTGGTCTGGTAGCAGTGAAAGAACCTGTGGTAACCTACATTTGTGTAAGTGGCCTTCATTTTAAAGTCTAATTCTACTAGACATACAGTTACAAACATATTTATCTCTGTAGGAGCAGTTATCCACTCTGCTTCTATGATGCAGAAAGAGAATGGTGGGAGATTTGTAATACAGGTCGGTAGAGCTTTGATCGGGCCCAAAAAATCAGGCCCAACCTGAACCGAATCTGAAAGAATTCTGTGCGAGCCCAACCCAACCCCAAATTTCCGCTTAAAATAAATAAATATTTACATAATTTTAATTGTTTATTACAATCTAACATAAACTTTATTGTGCATATTTTATAGTAGCCTACACATTTTTATCAAAACTAATAAATAACTAATTCACTCATTAATTACAGTTGCATAAATTGTTATTCAAATATTAAATATATATATTTTTTTGTTTTGTTCTGTGAGCCCAAACCGAATTCCTTATTCTTAACCTAATTCAGGTCAGTATCCCGAAAACCAGTCAGAGTGAGGTGTCCTCTTGTTTTTCCTGCTCTCTGGGAGGATGGACCAACTGCGACGTTTCTGCCCAGTGACGCACAGACGTCAGCAGTCGGTAGGCGGAAAAGCGGCAGCAGTGTGTTTCTGTATCTGGAGATAAAGCCAAACCGGGTGTTTTTATCAACGAGATTTATACAGGGGAGATCAACTATATTAGCCGTTAGCCTGCTGAAATGGCGGTTCCTGCGGGTCAGACGGATCTTCAGGCGGACAGAGGCGGCCTGAGCGGTCAGACAGTCCCCTCTGAAAACAACATTGACATCGACGAGAAAGAGTTGGAGAATATCACAAAGAAACACCGAGAAGACGAGACGACAGCGCTGCCTCTGCACTCACCTTGGACGTTTTGGCTGGACAGGTAATGTTTGTCCCTTCTTCCGCGTTGTCCGTGAGTTTAGAGTTTCAGGACGAGCAGGAATGATGGAGGAAAAATATCATTCAAGGCCACAGCTCTCCTTTCAGCAGGCCTCCTGGAGCAAATGTAGCGGGAGAGTGTTTGCGTCTAACATGACCTTCTTCTACTCACAACACCGTGTCTGACTACTCAAAGAAGTTATCTTTTTCACCGCTATGTTGTTATCCGAGGTAATGACTCCTGCGTAAACACGGCGGACATGTTTGTTATTTTTGGGGTATTCACATCTGTTATTCACGTTACTTTAGCTCTGTTTCCCAGCAGGGGGGCATGAGAGGAAGAAGTTAAAGTATACAGGCTATATGGAGGTTAGCTGTGATACATTGTAGCTTTACACGGGGCACTTTCTCATTAACATCAGTGTCTTTATACCTGTCAATAAAATGCATGCTACACGTTACATTGTCTCTCCTTCTCTTTATGAGCTCATGGGAATGTGGTTTGTCACATGCAGTTTATTGGTTTAGGTTTTGTGATGGAGCAAAGGTTTGTATGGCACTGAGTTTGGACCCTTATAAGTGTTTGTTTTTTAAAATGACCACAGACTCCATAAAGACTGAAACATTTATAGTCAGTTAATTAATCAGTCAGCTGAAAATGTAATAAATGTAATAAACAGTAATTATGCCAGTATGAGTATTCTCTGGTTCCAGCTGCTCACTGTAAAACAAATGAATTTAACTCCAACATTACACACAACTTACAAAACTAAGTTAGTGTTACTTCAAATTCTTAGTAGAAGCTGCTTAATCAAGAGTATTTTTTAACTTACAAAACTGAATATGTTTTACTTACTAAAATGTCCAATGTCATCTGTTTCAACTATTGTTTTGAGTTAAAATAACCTCACATTATAGTGAATGTGACAGTTTGCTGCTTTTCGCTGTTTTATTAAAAACCAACATATCGGGTTTCGGACTGGGGAGAAAACTTCAGATATTTGAAGATGCCATATTCGGCTTGCAGAACTATTAATTTCCATTTATCACTGTTTTAAAAATGAAGGTTAATAAAAAAGAATCGAGTCTATAATGAAATGAATTGTTAGTTGCAGCCCTAATTTAGACAGATTGGGGTCTGAAACGTTTCAGTGCATTTTTCACTGTCGGAGCTATTTTATCAAAAACTAGATTAGAATTTGGAGTGTAAGTAAAATACAAATAAATATTGTATTGTGATATTTTATTTTATGATATTGTATCGATTCTAAAAACACTATCAATTTGTGTTTAAACCTCCAATTTATTGAATTGTAACCCCTGTATCATGATATAGGAATAGGAGCTGTAAAATTGTATGTCGGGCCATGGTTTAAAAGAGAAAGTGAAATTAGAAATAAGTAATGTGGTCCACTGGCATCTGTTCATGAGCCAGTAGGCCAGTTTTTAACCTAAACTATAAACTATATTTGTGCAGAACTTGTGTTGTTGGTTTAATTACCAAATGCACTC